TTTTGTTTATTTTCTTTGTTTTAGGGAATATTAAAGTGTAATAACTTATTTATTATTAGAAATATGTATAAAATATTGATATAAAAACGAATTTGCATAGCTACATCTGCATATATATGTTTGTAAAATCAGCATATTTGTTGCATAGTTTAGACTTTTACATTTATTTGGCATAATGAATTATTCTTTATTCATGATTTATTCATTATGCGGATAACTCACAATGGAGTGCGCGAAACAAGCTTCACCTTGACTTATGGCTGTTCGGCTAATGCAAATGATTTCAGGCTAAGACTGAGTTTGTGTTATCTTTATAGAATTCTCTGGGTCTTAAAGGCGGCATTTAAAATCAATAAAATGGCTCGTTGCACTGCACCTGACTGAGCTGAGGCAGGCAAAACGTGCGCTGGCTAAGCAGAGTGGCTCATCAAATGGCAAATGGGCAAATAGGCAAATGGACGCCGGTAAATAAGCCGATTAATTGTAATCAAGCGGGTGCAACTGTGGACAGTGGACAGTGGACAGTGGACGGTGGACGGTGGACAGCCTGTCTAATGGCTTGTTGCTGGCTATCGATTAGTCTGGCCTGACGGCTGGGTCAACGTTTGAGCAACTAAAACACTTTCTACCCCATTGCGAGGAGCGTAAAGAAACAAAATTAGCCAGGCATCAGGCGAGTACGATATTGCGCCCATTTGGCTATTGTGTAATAAAAATTTCCCAGTTGGCCAACACGAAGGACGAGTCGCCGTTGGAGTTCGAGTTGGGCTTGCAGTTGTTAATGTTGTTGTTGTTGTCGTTGCTTTGGTTTAGTAATGACAAATAATAACCGTTGCCCAGAGCTGCCAACTGCCCCAACTTCCCCAACAGCCTGTCCAACTCATGCCACAGCCGCTTCAGCCCTTTGTGGCCATCGCTGTTGTTACTGTTGTTGTTGTTGCTTCTGTTGCTGTTGCTGCCATTGTCAGTGAGCAAATTAATGTGAAGTGTAAGTAAAATTTACGCTGGACTTCGCTGCTTGCTAATAATCATAAAAAACGGCTCGGCTCGCACATTTTGACAACTGGCTGCTGTCTGGATCGAGACGCAGCCACGCCCCCAGTGCCCAATCCTTGCAATTGAGTTAAAACTGTTGTATGTTTTTACTCCTTTTTTTCTCTTTTTTGTTTTTTTTTTTTTTTTTTTTTTTTTTTTAGATGACAGGCGCAAAGTGCCAAGCAAATATAAATAATTTTACTTTATTGTCTAAACGCCTCTTTCTCGACTACTGTCTCGGTAGATTTATGTTGCATTTGTCAGCAGAGCTTCGGGTGGTCCTCCGGCTACTGCAAATTCCCCATACTTATTTATTTAACTGCTTGCGAGCTCGAGATCTTTCTGATTGACTGCTGCAGCTGCTGAATGGATTGGCTTGGCTTGACTTGGCCTGGCTTGGCTTAAATGTAAACAAATAAATGCGACCATTTTTGAGCAATTAGTTTCATGACAGACATCAAAGCGTAAGCTCTTTAAAAAGAATCCAAATTATTTGGGTAGACACTTTATGAAGACATAGAAGACAGGGACTTTATATATATA